AGTGGATAAAAACAGTACTCATTAAAATCTATTATAGTGCTATCAATATAATATTGATCGTAGAATGAGTTAATATCCTTCTGGTTGTTGAATCAAATACTATAACGGCTGTCGTTATTCCTACTGTACTGGATTGGTGAGAAGCGTGAAAGAAAATGGGTAAGTCCATGAATTCATTTGTGTAGTGGGTCGATGATTGATTACTATAGCCTACAATTCAGAAAATACTCCAACAACGGAATAGAATGTTGTTTAAACGTAGATTGGTTTGGACGATACCTGATTAGTAAGATTTATCATTTGATTTACATGATTTAACTTTTCTCCTGCCAGTTAACACTCTTACTATTATTGCAATTGAAGCCTTCAATAGAAGATCACTTACATAAAATAATCCTACTGAACCCTTCTGAAAGAGGTTGCCGGGTGACGAACAATCAGTTCATGTTTATTTTAACTGATAGTATAGCAGATGTGTATGTACGAAAACAATTGAGTAAGTTTCTGTACCCAAGCATCATCCACATTCAAGTCAAATGAAATTTTGGTACGATCAACATATACATGGCATTTATTCGATTGTTTCCCGTCGATATTAATGATGAGTTAGATTGTTTATAGATTCGCTAAAATCACGTTTTCAAGATGAAACAGACTCAAAAAAGAAGACAAAAGGAATAAAAGAAATACATTATTGAATTGTCCTTAAATTACTGCAACTGAACTCCGTATTCAGCACTTGTTGGTGTGAAGAATTTTTTAGCAGCTCGAAACAATATCAATATGGCTCTTTACCACGTGTTGATTTAATTATCAACTGATGATCAGAATGTGATGGTGTACGTGTAGGTGTTGGAGTAGGTGAAGGTATGTATGAAAAGAAGAATCATACCTACACTCACACCCACACTCTCAAGCTGATACTTTCGAAACGTATGTAAACTAAATGTTTGTTTGTCAATCAATGTAAATTATTGTGGATGAGTAACCGAAATAATGAATACGAATTTAGTTGGACAATAATAATTTTAAAAATTAAACATTTTTTGAGAATCACATTAAATGCACTTAAATCGATACCATTACTGCATAAGGTTTAATATTCAGTCAAAGTCGATAATTTAAGATTTATTATTTAAAAATAGTCTGATGTTAAACATAATTTTTTACGAGGTCATTATGAAGTGCGCATTGTAATCAGAAAACTAAATTTTCCAATACTTAGAAATTATTGGAAATTTAATATTCTTTTTTGATCCTTCTTTACTATGTCATTACACTAAATTCTTGATAAAACAACGTATTTTTGTATTTGTCATTGAAATTGATTTCTTGTTTTCAGTTGTAAACATGTTGTTTGTTCAATGGTAGTGACTTATTCGGAGACAATAGGAATGAGAAGTGTTTTTTTTAAAGATTACATCGTTGGTTTCTTGTATTTGAATGTCACTGATATTAAGAAGCAAATTCTTTATCAAATCATGTCTCTTCTGGAACGTGAATGTTTTGTAGACTGTATCATACAATCTTATGATGACTCAGTAAATTAGTAAACATGCAAACTGGGTATTTTATCTACTGTAAATATCAAAAAATAATTAGCGCTATGACTTCATTGGGTACGATTTAAGTTTCTCAAGTTACATATGTTTTGTAAAAGAACTGAAAAATTATTCTTAGTATCAGAAATAAAAATTTTACTAAAGTATTATTTTCCATATTTATTACTAATATATGGGTAGATGCCAATACATTATTAGTAAATTATTCTTCATATATTTACTAACTTACTTTCTTTTCCTCATGAATCATATACAATGCCGTTCATTTGTTTCAGTTTTTATGTACTTATTTATATTTTTTATTTGAAAAACTTTCGAGGCTATTTGATCACGTATCTGAAAAATAAATCATTAAATAAACTTTCTTCCCAAAATAAGCTGATAATGTGTCAATATCTCATTTTTCGATTCCTACCAATTTAACTTGCTCAATTCGTTTAGTAAATAAATTATATATTTCATCAACACCACATACATATTAAACGCTATATCATAGAAGTCGAAATAGGCGATCGCTTTGAATAGATACAAACATTTGAGTATATTACCCTAGGCTTTATGAATACATGCTAAGAATATCGGGATGATGTTTCTCAAGAAATATTGTGAAATATATACAAAAACAAAAAGCTTCTTTTATTTCTCCTTAATAACATGTCTGGATGGCCTATTCTAAACAAGATTGTAGACATGAATTTTATAAATCATTTTATTTGAATTGTTTCAAATCATAACAACTTGAACATATTTAATTTTTACTGCAAAAATCAAGATCAAAACATTGATTTGATAATCGCAAATCAGACTTAATCAAAACCAAAGAATTCTTTTCTTTTTCTTTTTAAAAGAATTGATTACATAAATATGCAACACACAATAAATTACCTTAAAAATTCTTAAATACACATATTACAATGTGTAAAACAAAAACAAATTTATTAGGTACAATAAAATTGTTACTGATTAGTAAAGCGCAAAAGAAAAGGTAAAAAGAAAACTTAAATGAGAAATAAACAAAAGCAGAAAAACAATTTTTATTGTACTTGAACAATCGCATCTAATTCCATTTTTCGTTGACTTTCTAACTTATGTGCAAACCAAATAATCTGAAGCATAGAACCAAAAAGTAAGCAAAAAAATGTTTAAAAATTTGAATATTTATACTTGAGTGGTATCACGTCGAACATTGATTATAGATGGTTTGCGTACATCAATAGATGAATTTAACGCAACGTTATTTGAACCTTTTACTTCAATAGATAATCGAGCATTAGACATACCCTACAGATGATTTAATTTAATTACTAATTAAATTATATTATGTATATTTACTTTGTTTTCTACAAAAAGTATTGAACCACAATCATCTTGATAATTAAAGCATTGAACAGACGACTCATTCAGCTTAATTTTTTGTCCTTTATTTTCTAAAAATTTCACAAGAATTTTTTTTATTTCAGCTAATTCAACATATGATGTTGGTTTAAGATGTAGATCAGGTTGACTGGTATGTACAGTTAAATTAAATGGACACATCTATGAATAATAATAAAAAAGAATTTCAAAATGTAAAAGAATATTTAAAACAAACCATATCAAGTTCAAGTGCATAGTTAAAACCTAGAGATTTTAAACCATTCCATAAATCCTGTTCACTAGTATCTTCATCTTGTACTTCAAAGCCATTTAATTTGAAAAATTTTTCTTTTGACACATTTTCATCAATATCCAAACCAACATTTTCTAAATTTACACAATAAATTAATCCTTCATTTTCATTTGAAAAATAATAAGCATTTTACCTCGAATTGATGACCAATCTTCATCAGTTATTTCGTCTCCTGTTGTTCTTATTGTCCATAAATTATATTCATGTCGATCAAGTTGTTTATTATCTGAAGAAAAACATGTCAGCAAAATAAAATAAAACAATTTCAAATGAATAATTTTTACCATCAAAATCAAATAGATCAAATACAAATTCAAGTACATCGCTAAAAAATAACTTAATTTTAAATATAAATATAAATTAGAATATTCCTTACTGATAATCTTTACTCATAATAAAATTATTTCCTTTTTTAATTTCTCGCAATGTTTTTATCGGTGCACGTTCATTCATTGCTTTTGATCGTCCTCGAAGTACACCACCAAATGTAACAGGTATAATTTCATATGAACCTTTTGGCAATACATCCAATTTAAGATAGGATTTCTACAGTTATAAAATTTAAATAATAAGAACAAAAATAGACAAGATAAATAGTACTTACATGTCCTGATCGTTCGGAACTCATATAAAGAAGACGTCTTTCTGTGGAACGAGGAAGTTTTTCAAAGAGAAGAATACGAACATCTATATTTTGAAATGATGAGTCTAATAAAAAAAAAAAACAGACATGCATTAAAACTTCGCTATTCATTCAAATCTATCAATATTAGATTTCATCTATTGTAATCTCGAAGTTTTCATAATGATATACCTGCATGATATCGTGAAATCGTTGGTTCAAGAGTTATCCATATAGGCGCATCCTTTTTAATTTCAAACGAATAGCCGATTGTAAAATAAAGTACATCAGTTGGTGAATCGAAATATTCGGAAAAAAAAGCACCTTTCATTTGTAAAGAACGCATTTTCTAAAATACAGTCTATAGAAATAAAGTATTTTTTCGTCTTTCATTTTCTAGAAACCGGAGGAATGAATAATTTTGTCGATGATGGATTAATAATAATATGAACATTATTGTTATTATTACTGTTTGATTTTGATGAGTTCAGTCGTGATGGTGGACGTACAAAATCATCTAAGAAAAAATTTTAATGATAAATAAAAAGTTAGAATCTACCTCGTTTTTCTTTTTCTTCTTTTAAGATTTTTTGACGACAATTAGTTTTAGTTTCTCCAATTGATTTTGTTAACTAAATTATATTCAAACACAGATTTTCATCATTGAACAATACAATGAATAATATAAACCTTTTTAACATCGACTTTCCCACCTACAGTACCGAGTAAATAACGAAGTTTTGCAAACTCATCTTGTGTCAAACGGTCACCTTTCTATATGGAAAATATTTTCTAAATTTCTATATTGAAAATCATAAAATCTACCTCGAGCATATCCATACGAAATTTATCATAATCAATTGCGCTCCCATCATATTTTCGATCTTTATTATAAAGTGTTTCAAATGCTTCTTCAAGAGTTCGTTCATCAATTGGTTTTTCTTCGTTAAGAATACGTTGAAATTCTTTGAATGTTATATCTTCTAAAAAATAATTAATAAATAAATAGGAAAAAATAAATAAATCTCACCCTCATTATCTGACCATAATTGATCAAGCGTTGTTTTCGATAAATCATATCCAACATAGTTAAGAGCTAATATAGAAATATTTTCATTTCTTAAATGAGATTGAACGATGGACAATTTCGAACTGATATGTCGCTTTTCCATCGGGACTATTTTTCATCGTGTAGACCCTAATGAACTATGAATACCCTAAAGAAATTTTCTTGCTGTTAGTTTATTGCCGGCTAAATACTTCATTTTTCGGTATGTTCTTTGCAAAATACAGTTGTCTCCTGAGGAACATCAGGAAACATGAGTTTCCAATTTCTATTTGAAACTTTACACTGAGACAGGCGTTAACAATAATAGTTTATTGTGAAGTTTTGAAATCTTTTGATCGCTCCTATTCTGAAATAACAGGATATCGGAATCTGTCGGTGTCCATGAGTGGTGTAAACAGACATGTTTTGATCATTGTCATATCTTACAATAGTAACAACGAAAAGATTCAAAGCTCTCACAATAAACTATTCTCGATAACGCCTGCCTCAATGTCAAATTTCCAGTCGAAATTCAAAACTCATTTTTTCTGGTGAACCTTGGAGAGGAGTAAGGCATTTTGCTACAAAATATCGTAAAACATGCAGTATTTCACCAGCAATAAGTTAACAGCAAGAAATCTTTTCAGGATCTTCATAGTTCATTAAAATCTACACGATGGAAATAGTCCCAACACCAAACCTATTTACTAGGTGAGAATTTTCTCTCGTAAGTAAACCTACCTTGAACGAATTTCTCACGATTTGTTATTGAGAGTCGTGTAGGTAACTCGGCACAACGTTCAAAAACTACTTTATGAAATTTAATATCATCATCATTAAAATTTTTCAAAGGATATTCATTCTTTCCACGATCTTGTTGTCGCGACAACGATGAGCGGCTATTTGATATTGATAATGGTGGCGATGACGAACGATTTGTTAAATAATCAGATCTTGATACTTGAAAACTTGGTGATACTCGACCACCAAGACTAGCATTACTTTTTATTGATCGATTAGAATTCATAGTTTATTCAAGAAAAAAAAAGATTAATCTTCTTTTCCTTTTAGTTGTACGTCGCTATGTTCTTACCTCCATTTTATTCAACCAAACAATACTTAGTAACGTTAGAAGCTTGAGATTGGATGAAACATGTGGCGCAATCTTCTATGACAAAAAGAACTGACGCAGTTTTAGATTTTGCATTCATTTATTTGAGATGTCGTGGCGACAATCAGTGAATAAACCTACAACTAAAACAACTGCACCAAAACCCAAATTCGAAGCTAATGATGATGATTGGGAAACAGATATTACTTATGAAGTATATTTTTCGAATTAATATATAGTTTTAATTTCTTGTCAATAGAATTCAGCAACTGAAAAATCTCAACGCTATGGTTCAACAAGTGTACCTGGTTCCGGTAGAGTAGATCATGTTGATTTTGATTCAATTCGGAATAAAATGAAAACAGCTGATAATACTACTAAAGAAACATATCAAGAAAAAAATCCTAATCGTGGTTATGGAGGAAAATATGGTACAGAACAAGTAATGGATAAGGTCATTTATTAGTTTTTATTTATTTTATTTATCATCAACAAAAAAATTAATTTTCAGTCTGCAGCAGATTTTTCCTACAAAGCGGATATTAAAAAACATTCATCACAAACAGGTTAGTAAAAAACAATGTTTATAATTGCGGGGATGGAGGTGGTATAGGTACTTGTACACCATTGTAAAAAGCAGCTGAATAAGCTGGATGATTTATAAAATAGTTTGTAAATGCTTCTTGTGGTACAAGTCCATTTTGTAGAGCATAATTAGATTCAAGATTTTTCCATACTTGTTGATAATCAGCATTAATACCATAT